AGACTACACTCACCTGGACCATTACACTTCACAACAAACTGTCAGTCACCACCAACAACAGTCTTTCTCTAGACTACACTCACCTGGATGATCACATTTCACACCAAACTAATTTATTTTCATTTGATTTTTTACCAGACATACATCAACCGCCACCCCCACCACAACAGGCATAGTCTATGAAATATGCCATATTTCTGGTAGGAAACCATGCTCTGCTCTAAGAGCAGATATCTCATGTGACAGTGAAACATATATTGTACAGACCTATATCACCTTGAATATGATCATCGTACTTTGTCCGAGCACTCATATTGGATAAAGATTGGGACACACTAAATGACAATTCATGCACTGAAACAAAATATGGTCCCCGATTCGAATAAATTATTGTTCTGCTAGAACTCTTTTCTTTTTTTAAGTGAACACAATGCTAGTCAGTCCAGAACAATAGTTTTTTCAAAATTTACTCCATATTTTGATTTGGTGTATAGGGATGAAGTAAGATTAGGTAGCAGAAAAATTTTTTCTCTTCATTCGACATGTTTATTTTTATTTAAGGATACATTCTTGTTGCTTTGATATTTTACCCTGCGACAGTTGCAAGAAACCAAACTATGATTCCTTGTGTCAGGCAACAGGGACAAAATAAGTCCAATTTCCATATTAATAWTGTGTGTAGGTACTTACTTACTAAATTGACCTGTTGCTGTGGCAACATAAAAATGAACCAATGAGCTCTTAGTTCCCAGGATTACTCATAATGGAATATAAGATTCCTGGCGTTAAAGTTACTTCTTGTGCACCGCCATGCTAGTGACTTTTTCTTGCAATTTGCACACTTTGTGCGAAATTACCACAGTGAGCCGTCCCTGTGACTTGTCATCTAGTGTGCCCCAACCTCAATGGTTTTGTTCAATGTGATTGGTTCCTTGTGCCGTGCCGTTTCACAGTTACATGATAATCTCCTCTACCAAAGCAGTGAAGACAACAACTGCCGTCATCATGTAAAAAGATCATGTACATCTTGAATAGATGTGTTAAACAAGGGCAAAGATTGCGAGAGATTTTAAGGGTAACTTGTACATAGAAGTCCCAGCCGAAGGTGACGAACACTTCAAAAACATATTTTTAAGCATTTGCTGAGCAAAATAACAGTGCAGTCTTAACATGATTTGAATTATGGTGTAAATTTTTTATTACATCCCAAAACAAGAGAGAAAAGGCTTCTTCTTTGGTTTCTGAACACTATTTATGTAATTCAATAGAAACAGCATAAGACGCATCCTCGGTAATCAAGGGATAAAATTTTGTCGCTCGTTCCTCGATGCAAAAGACCTTGAGTCATACAATATAACGAAGTTGACAAAGAATACGATAGTTCTGCGGTACGGACAGAAGAACCCTCCTTAAAATACACAGGAAGTAACAGTAAATTCCCCCCTTGGGAAGAGGAGTAGGGGAACTGTAGTGTTTCTTTGCCCCCTAGGGGAGAGGAGTAGAATTTCTTTTGATACCAGTATGTTTTTTCTTAGCCTTGCTGAAATTTAGAAAAAATTAAAATAATCCAGTAGAAAAATCTCTTACTTTCTCCTTCCCTTTCTGAATGCAATAGAATTTAATCTGATGCTTGCTTGCTCATATTACTCAGTGACAGGAATACATTGTAAGAAATAAATAAATCTAAAATCTTTAAAAATTGTTGGGTTTTTTTTTTACAATCTTTTCTTTACTTTTTTTTTCTTTCTTTTTCTTTTTTCTTTTTTTTTTTT